AAATCGACATTCGTGCGATTCCAGTCCTCGAGGCCACCACCTCCGAAGTGATGGTCTACGGCACCGCTGTCGTGGTCGAGTGACGGACCTCTCTCTTTCTTGGGGCCCCCTGAGCCCACGGCCAGCTGATCCAGGGACTGCCCTGAGATCCCGCTGCGAGCCCGGGTACCGCTTCTGCGTACAGGCGCGCTCGGCGAAAAACGAGTGGCCTCCATGGGGATTCGCGGAGATGCTTCAGAGACTCGGTCCAGCTCATGAAGCTTGCGCAGCAGAAGCGTGATCATGCTGTCTACTCGTTCAATGCCTCTGGGCAGCGGCGGGCTCAACTTGAGAACTGCGGGGATGTTTCGATGTTTCAGGTGCTTCAGGTCTCCAAAGAGTTGATACTCACGTCCTGATTGCTGCTGAGTTTCAGAGATGCATGCACCAGCGATGATGCCAACAAGGCTTTGAACCTCGGCGGCGCTGTCTGTGTAAAGGGTCTGTTCGAATACATCAGTTCCAGTTGATCGGGTCCTTGGGGTTTTACTGGCTGAAGGTGTGAGGCACGTCTGCTTAGCCGATTAATGCACTCAGGTGTACAACAACTTCACAGTTTCCATCATCTGTATTGTGCAAGCAACCCAAGCCTGTCTTGCCTTGCCGAAGCATCAAGCCTTGAAATACCCCCATGTCTAAAACTCAAGAACCCACTTGTCAACAGCTCCGCACGCGGCACCGACATGCTTGTGAAACAGCACCGCGCAACCGAAAGCCCAAGAGATGCATGCAGCGAGCGAAAACCCACAATCCACCAACATTCCTGAACTCTTTCAAAAGCCTCCTCGGCACGTTTGTGGCCGTCAAGATTTGGAGATATCGTGTCCAGAAAAGAACTTAGCAAATCCGCTCCGGGTGAAGTGCTCGCAAGAAGGCCAAGCTTTTCCCAACTTTTTGCTGTGGGAAGAAGGCGCCCAGATATGATACATTCCTACAAGAAAATCTGGTTTTGGTTCGGTGGCGCAGCCAGTGCGACCCCCACTCTGACCCGGATGCGGGGCATCCAAACAACCAAGGTTTCATGGTCCTGACCCTGAGGGAGCTTTGGGCACATTTCCACCGCTTCATCCTGGATCGCACTCTGCATTTGTGGTCAACAACATAGTCAGGCCCTCGACTCGTGACAGCCGAGTGTCCTTCTCAAGCCTCTGGGGCGGAGAGGCCAGAGAGGGAGACATGCTTGCATAGTGCTTGAGGTATAGTTGCGGTAAAATGTGTGCTTCGGGAAGGCCTGGGCGAGGCTCGGCATGAACTTGGCATCGGAATCTGCACAAAACCAGAGTTTCTTGTAGGAACGATTAGGAACGTATCATATCTGGGCGCCTTCTTCCCACAGCAAAAGTCGAACAAAGCCTGGCCGCACTGCGAGCGCTGCACCCGGAGCGGATTTGGACACGATATCTCGAACCGTAACCCTTGGAAGGCCTCAGACGTGTGAGGAGGCTTTTGGGAGAGCTCAGGGGTGTTCGTGGATTGTGGATTTTCGTTCACTGCACGCAGCTCTTCTGTTGCACAGGCATGCCGGTGTGCCGCATACGGAGCTGTTGGGCACGTGGGTTCTTGAGTTTTAGACATGGGGGTACTTCAAGGCTTGATGCCTGAGTGCCTGAGTGATCGGCTACGTAGACGTGCCTCAGACCTTCAGTCCCGAAAGCCCCAAGTCCCCGATCAACTGTATTCGAACCGTCCCTTGACACAGACAGCGCCGCCGAGGTGCAAAGACATGATGATAGCACAAGAAATGTCGCCAAGCATGTTCGTACCTTGGACTTCAAGTGCTCATGTCCTCGGATATGACAGCGCATGGTAGCATAGAAATGTTGGCGGAGATTCTCCTGCGTGGTTTTAGGTGCATTGCAGTGTATTTGTTCTCGGGTCTATTCTTCTGGGAGCTGCATGGCAAAGTGTGATTCCAATAACGAGGCCCCCAAAATGGAATTTGTGCTTGTTGCTGATAGTTTGTGCGTTGTCCATCTGCCTGCCTTTGCCGCTAACCTATGTTGTGGTTTCCTTTTTGTTTCCATGAAGAATCGATCCGGAGTCACAGCATTTTGGAACCCAAAACCCGGAAAGGGCTTAAGGAGGACAACTCACCAGAAATCCACCGAACAATGCCGCCTGAGCATCGCATTACCTTTCGACGAAGACAAGCTCCCTCCTGAAGCCCCCGATCGCTTCTGCTTCTGCGTACAGGCGCGCATGCGCGTAGGCTCTGCACAAGACAAGTGGCCTCCCTGAGAGGGGTCTATTTGGGATTCGCGGTGAGTCGCGGAGATGTTTCAGAGATTCGGTTTCACCTCCTGAAGATTGCGCAGCAGATTTGCTCTATACTTGTACAGTGCCTGTGGGCAGCCACGGGCTCAATTTGAGAACTGCGGTGCCCCGATCGCAGCAGTTGCAATGGCCCCAGCCTCAACATGCTAAATTGCATCCATTAAAATCACCTCTTTCTGATACCAGCGCCTTCATGTTGCTCAAACCGAAGGTTTGCAAAAGGCCCTGATTGTGCTCTCCGGCCACTGAGGTGCTTGATCCGAGCCTCTTCCATCAGCCCGACAACCACTGGCACGAGGCTCTTGAGATCTCAAGGGCCAGGCGTGTAGATGCAGGCAGAATAAACATGCCAATTGGCCAACAGAGTATGTGGAAGCGACTGTATCCTGTTGAGTCGTCCGTGCAAGCCCTTTGCCGGACAGTAGACCAACGCGCGCTAACAACTTGCACATGTTTTCAGCCGCTCTTGTCTGCACTTTCCAGCATGGTGGAACGGAGCTTGTGGTGCCTGTTTTCCGTTGGGGTGCGACTGCTTGTGTCGCTTAAGCAGTGAGTCTGCTTGAACCTGAGAATGCTGTAGGTTCCAAACACCCACGCTGGTTACGACAGCAGTGCCCAGTCCGCTTCTCAGAGGCCCAGTGAGTTGTGAGTTGAACTGGTCTCGTTTTCCGAGTTCATCGGCCTTATACTTGGACAGATGTGCGGTGTCACAGATCAGGCGAACGCCTACCTATGCCGAGTATTTTGTTTTGGATGCGTGATAGCGTGCTTGAGCATCTCTGAGCTGCGATATCATGTTCCCCTTCGGTCCTCTGATGCGCCGAGTCACTGGCCACGCGCGCTGCGGCACCGTGTGCAGGCCTGGGCATGCTGCGGCTTGGGGCCTTGGGCCAAAAGCTCGACACTGTCTTTGGTAAGCAAGCTACCCCCTGTAGTATCCCTACGTATCACAGTTGATACACCCAGGCCTGAGCAATGCATGAACATCTTGGCATGAACCCGAGACGCAGCAAGCCATCAGGATGTGCCGGGCCATGCAGCCTTGCCTGCAGAGACGCTCCCCAGGCAGGGCTCACACGGGCTTGAGGGGTTCTTAGTGTCTGCCTGTCATGCGATCCGGAAGCTGTTGGGTGCTTTATGCCTACAATAAGACAAGGTAGACAGGCTTCAGAGCTTGGGTCCCTAGTGCCTCCGACCTTGAAACTGAGATTGAACATGCTGCCACTGGCAATTGACCCGACCCCTTACTGGGATCCAGAGTCGCGGGAGACCTCGATCGATTCCGCCGGAAGTCGTGGATTCGGCTTGGCAAGCAGGGAGCGACCTATCCTTAGCATCTAGGCCAACTTGTGCAGCAATGTCAAGGAGTAGCTGAGTAGCGTACACTACTCTACAGAGGGTTTCCCAATACCGGAGTCAGGCTGCAAGAATTTGTTGGCCCGAGTCTGCTAGGGAATCAACCACTAAGTTCCATGTTTCCTTTTGGCTCTGTTTCGGTGTTACATTTTGGGTGTTCCGGTCTTGTGTTGTCGTAGAGCAAAAACTAAACCCTAAAAGCGCTGAAGCCTCACCCTATGCCCCCCAAACCATGTCCCTGACCCCTCAAAGCCAAAACCGCAATACCCGTGCAACCTGAGCCCTAAACTACGCGAAGCCTTAATGAGCCGCCAAACCAACAATGGACCCAAAGCCCAAGTATGGCCCTTCATAAGCGCTGCCAAACGCGCTTTAAGCCCCGAATAGGCCCCCAACATGCACCAACCCCAACCCTGGACCCTCATACCATAACCTTAAACCTTAAACCCACATTAAACCCACGACCCTAAACCCTAAACGCCTAGACTGAACCCGAAATGGGGCGGCACTCTTTGCCGCTTCGTTAAACGAGGCATCGGCGCCGAGCCGAAGGGTCCTGGCCTCGGCTTTCGGTGGAGTCGCAAGCCGACGGCTCAAGCTTTTGGCCATAGCTTTCTTCTTACTTCGTCTTATTACAATTCTTAACACTGGTATTATTCTGCTTGTTCTTATCTCCAGGTTTCAAGAGGTTTTTGGAATTTTCGGGTGTTTTGGAGTTGAGAGGCTTAGGGGTTTAGGGGTCAGGGGTTTGAGGGTCGCAGGGTTTAGGACTTTTAGGGGTTCAGAGTTTTGTGCAGTGCAGGGGTTGAGATTTGGCTTTAGGTTTAAGGATTTGGGGTCGTAAGGTTTGGGGTTGTCGAGTTTCCCAGTTTAAGGTCACGGCTTTAGGGCTTTCGGGTTTAGTTCAGGGTAGTCTTGAGTCTCGGGTTTTGTTTGGTGTTCTTTTCAGTCCGGGAGGGACTTCGCTCCTGAGGCCGTGGTTTCTGGGGCCCAGCGGCCACCCGGAGAACGTGCTCGTGAAGCTGAAGCCCTTGGGCCGCCTTTACCGCGTGTGATGAGGGGGGGAAAGAGTTCTGAGTTCTAGAACGGAGTCAACAGAGTAAACCAAGGAAGCTGCAATCTTTGCACGTGATGCAAGGTGAAGGGGTTCCTTGGATCGTACCAATCTTCCATAGATCGAAGCGAGAGCGCAGTCCGAACCTGAACTTCACAGCTCCACCCTCCATGGCACTAATTTCGTCCATGTTTCCTGAGGGAACCTTTGTGAAGTGCAGCATGCCTCGAAGGCATAAGCAGCTGCCAAGCAAGCACTTCTAAAGCCATGTGGCAAGATGAGGGCATATGCGGGCCCTGCAGGCATGCAGCAGGGTTTGAACTGCAAGCGGGAACAAGCAGAACACCACAGGGAGCCGCTGGAGCCGGACGCGCGACCTTTGGAGGCCCTCAGCTTGCTGCGTGGATATGGATGCCCATTCGTTGTGTCTTGCTAAATGCATCTTTGGGGACAAGCACCGTCTGGCGGCCGAAGCTGTATAAGGGCTCGAGAACCCACCATCTTGGGCACAGCAAGCAGCCATGTTTTGAACTACATCATCGGCTCTTCCGATAAAGCCACGATACCTTCATAATCATGTTTTAATCGGAGAAGCAATCTCGGGACTGGCACCGATGTAAAATTCGGCCTGAGCTTCGGCAGCCATGAAGTCATGAAGTCTGTGCTGCTACATATCGTCCCTGCCCCTTGGTGATAACGTCTGGCTGGCTTATCGAGGGTTGAGGTTTCGAGCAGTAGTATGGGATCTTGGCTGTCTGCTAGACCTGAAGGCGTTTCCGTTTATGCCTGTTGGGGCACTCATAGCGAATCTGGAGGCCCGTGTCTGCTGGAAGCAGGTTCTTTCTAAGCCTGCAAAAGTGCAACTCAAGGGGCGAAGCCCGTGGTTTTTGCTTTGCAGAAGCTGTTACGTAGATGCAGTTAGGAACTAGTGGCCTCATGATTCGATTGCATTCGGAGCTGCCCAGGTCGCGCTGCCCCCGGCCTGGGCGAACCTCGCAGGGCAGCTGGGCCGCCCAACTGCAGCCCTGCGCATGCTGTGCCCGACAATGCGGTTGTGCAGTTGGATCCTGACCTGTGCTGAGGAGGCCAGCAGATTCAGGAGAGCGACCTCTTCCTAGGCGGAAAGACCGTGTCGCAGCACAGGGAGCACGCATCCCTGGGCCTTTTTGAGTCGCTTCGTGTGTTGTTGTGACGGCAGGCAGTCAAGCCTTCACGAAGAATGAGTCTGTCGCTCCACAGCAACCGGTGTGGCTGATTGCGCTCCAAATCGCACACCGACCAGCCTGCAGTGGCTTTAACTGACATGTCCATGTCTCTGAGCAGCGGCTTGCAAAGGAAAATCTTGGCATCATCTACAAGTGGTTGGACGACATCATGCCGTCTAGCTGCCGTTGGGCTGAGTACAGCGACATAGATCCAGTGATCCTAACTAGATTCAACTACATCCTTTACGCGTGCTTACGATTCAGTCTTACAAAGCTCGAAACTCGAACCCTGATGCTGATGGTCTGGAACTTGGTGCCTTCGGCTTGATGCGTCTGCACGCAGTCTTTGTTTTTCCTGTCCTGCTGACAATGTCAACTGCCAGACAGAGCCTATGTGCTGCCTCTTGGGATCCTCTTGCAAGCTTCTATCTGAGAGTTGAAGGGAGGCCTGTAAAGTATTGAGACTTCCCTGAGTGGGGCCGTCCGTCTCTTTCTGCAGGCCCTGCGAGTGCTGTTGCTGAGGTGGTCTCAGGCCTGGGATTTGCCCGCACAGAGGAAAGTTGCCTATGCGCAGCTGAAGGACTTGGCGGAGGCGGGTGTGCCACCTGTTTTTTTGGAAGGCGGTCGCAAGCAGAACCGCAGAACCTCGGCGGTCCCCTACCCTCCGGAAGCCTCGGTATTGTGATGTTCGGGGCATGTGGCCTTTGATCTGGAAGAGGTGAGCACCCTCGCCTTGCCCTCATTGGCCTTCGGCGTCGGTTGCGGTCTGAGAGGGTTTTCAGGACCTGTCGAAACATCGCTTTCGCCGCCGAGCGCCCGAGGCCAGGCCTTGTACTCCTACTTCTGGTTCGAGGACAACGGAGGTAAGATCGACCTGGAGGCGAGGGAAAATGGGTCGAGCCTAGAGTTTAGAGTCCAGTCTCCACAACCTTTGGAAGCAAAGTCCCCCTTGCAGGCCGCGGATTTGTCGGTGCGCCTCCATGACCTGAGCCGCGCACTCAGCCCGAGTTTCGAAGCCACGGGGAGGGTCACACTCCCGCTTCGCACAGCATCCAGGCCTTCAACACAGCGGCTGCAGCGACCTGTCCATGGGCGTTGGGACTTTCCTCAGCAAGGCCAAACCTGCGCTCGCCTCGCGTCTCGTTCCTTCTCCTGCCAGCCTTTCAGCCTTTGGTGGTTTGGGGGGCTCCCCTCAGGTGTGCCACGAGCGGTGGCTTTTCCTGATCATGCTCAGCGCAGAGGCGGCGGGAACGCACTCTTTCGGATATATGTGGGTATGCCGAAGAGGGTCTTGGCTAAGACCCACGCTTTCCGTCCTCGAGCTTTGTAAGGCCCCCTGCCCGAAGCATGCATTGATCACTGAGCGAGCAGGTGGGAACCGCGTTTGCGGGGCGACGAAAGGAGCACCATGGGATGTGTGGGCTGTAGCCTTCCGGATGAAGGATAATGGCAAGGCTCCTTTACTCTGCACACACCCGGGATACACCATGTGACATGTGCAGACAGTAGGAGGTGAAGAACGGACAACTTATCTCGGGTCATCGTAACAGACACAGATTTTGGCCGGCTTCTTAAGATTCGTAGGTCAATGGATGTGCGAAGATTCGGGGCGTTCCCGGACAGGCCAGCAGCAGCATGTCTGAGAGTCTCTGCCATGATGAGACCCGGCCGAGGGGTTTGGGAGGTGACAACTCGTTTGATGTGATTCATATCCTCGATATTTAGGACTTGGTGCACGCTGCCGCAATGCTGCAGCGGGCAAACCAGCTGTTCCTTGCCTGCAAGGGTAGCCGTGGAGGCCGACTCGCAGTTTCTGCTGTAACGAGTATAGCAGTCCACTGGTCTGGCGGGTCCGGATGCCATGAAGAGATATGAAGAGGATCGGCAGTTTGCGGTCTGCTCAGGTTCGCGGACCTCAAAGAGTACCCCTTTTTCAGCTTTCGCAGGTGGCAGGTGCACGGAAAGACACTCATTGAGAGATTGTTCGACGTTTCCATGTCCTGAGTCGCTCTACGACATCAACACGAACTCCCACGCCGCGCGGCTGAGATGTGGCCGTGTTCTCAAGGCTTGCTTCCCCCATGCCAAACACCTCCGAACGCTCAATTCTCAAGATGCGGCATTGCGGCCGCTACCGGGCCCATACGGTTCGCTGGTAACGCCGAGGGCCACGGTTGAACCTTTTGATCATGCATGTACGTACTTGTATGGACCGTATGGACCTCGCAGTGATGGAAGAGTGGTGTTTCAGTGCCACAAATCGTGCAGAGTTGCAGCAGCCGGATCTTGTCTCTTCCTCGTGCATCGGCTTTTCCCAGGTATTCCCTGAGGGCTTCCGCCAGCGGCCGGTATGGCCCACAGCTGCGGCACCTTGGCTCTGGAAAGTGATGTAGTGCTACCTCTTCTCCAGAGTCAGCTGCAGCATTGCGGCAATCGTCATCCAAGGAGAGTTTAACGGTCTGGCGGGTGCAAGTAGGAGTCGAGTCATTGGAATTCGGCAATCTCATGAGCTGCAAAGCGCTCTTCTTTAAGGTCAACACTTGGGAGCCGAAACCCCCGAAGCTCTGAACATCGTCATGCTGTAGGAGCTTGAATGTATCCCCGTAAAGTCCTCATATAGATATACCACAGCATATCCCAGAGCCTTGCTCCAACCGTGTAGGGCCCTATCTCAAACCCTATAAAACCCTGTACCCTTATACACTCGATCGGCACTCTTCTCGTCGGTTTTCCAGCTCGAGGTGCCCATCGCGGTTTGGTTGGAGGAGCCGCTCCGATGCACTCTCAGTGATGGCCTTCGTCCGAGGCTCTTGGGCCATGTAGAGTTTGCCAGGATTTGCCGCACGTTCTACGGGGCTCGCCATATAAAGGATTTCATCATATGAGGGCATCCGATTTGCTATGAAATCCTGGCGACATATGGGGGTGAGGTTGTACTTGGTCCTTCGTTTTCTGAAACCTGCGGTATCGGCGAAAGCAAACGCAATTACTTGCTGGGACCGCTACAGTAGGAGGCAGCCATGACCATCATGTCATGGGTACTGTTTGGGATTGACAATAGTTGGCAGTCCGGTTTCTTGTCATAGGTTTCGGATTTGAGTGTTAGAAGTTTCAGGGCCTCGCGCCTCTCAAGGGTTTGTGTCTTTTTCGTTTCGCCGGCTGGCTTAGCATCAATCCTCCCAGCTATTAGATGTAGAGCCTACTTCTGAATGCCAGAAACACTAAACCCTAAACCGTTCCAAGTAGTCGCTTGACATTGTGCTATGTTGGGGAAGTATGTGAAGGCATGTGAGGCCCCCGTAGACCTCAAGTGCTTCAAACCTTGAAAGGCTCAGCTTTGCCAAATCCCTCTGAGCATTTTTCGCCTCATCTCGTTTGTTTTGTCGGTGGTCTATCTCTGTCTCCGTCCGTCTCCGTCTCCGTCTGTGTCTCTGTCTCTTTGTAACCCCAAGCGCCAAGCAAGCCCGGTGACGAACCAAACAGCGGCAATCGTGGCAGCACGAAGTCGCCATCATGGCAAAACTTCGAGCGAATCATACCAGCAGCCACTTGATCGACGACAGGTTGTTGTGTATCATCAAGTCAAGACTTGTTTCGATACACTCTGTACTTGTGACAATGAAGGTTAGCTCGACATGGATCAAGCTACTTGTATTCATTTCAAAATCACCGTGGTGAAAAACGCACTCGATGGCTGCAGACAAACATAACCAGTGGACCAAACATGTAAGCCGTACTGTCCTCATAGTTTAGCAGGTTAGAACTTGTACAAGTGTTTGTAGGAAGCAAGGTAAAGTAATGATTCTGATGACATTAAACCCCCCTCCATGAAGCAATCAAGGAAGGACAGCTTGTATGATGCAACAACCCAAGGAACTACGAGGTCTTCCGGCAAGATCTCGATGCTCGGCTGCCGCTCAAAAGTGTGCTCTTGAGCCAATCGCACAATGCCCGAAATCGCTGGTGTCTGCAAGGACTTGATCCTCAACCAGAGCAGCTTCGACACGCTCTACTTCATGGGCCACGTCTCCATGACTCAGCTCCGGCCTGAAGCGTCAGTGAGAGCCTGGGGCAGGGAAGCATGTCTCAGAGACATCAAACCCTAGACCCTCCCTCCGAGGCCCCAAACCCTGAACCCTAAGCTTGCTAGATACCTGGCTGACGGAAAAAGTTGCCCAAAAGAATCGTAAGCTCGGAGCACTCTAAACCTAAAATCCACATCAACATCGGATTGCCATCTTGAGTTGTAGCGAACCTCAAGCCCATGGGTTTGCGGCCCAGGTTTTCGGGCCGCCGGGAATCCTGGGCGCCGCTGAACCTGCCGCGCGACATGGATTATGGGATCTTACCAGGTTTTAGGGTTTAGGAAGTGTGGGGTTTAGGGTTTAGGAAGTTTGGGGTTTAGGGTTTAGGAGGTTCGGGGTTGTGGGTGTTAGCTGACACGATCTGTGGAGCTGTAAGGATCCACAACCGGGAGTTGGCACCTCACGCGTGCGAGGCCGTGGCCATGGGAATGTACGCCCCAGCTTTTACATGTTTTTCATGAAATGGACTATCATAGAAGTCGTCATAACGGTAAGTGCACCTTTGAAGGGTAAAAGAGTCTATACGACACAGGTTTCTGCAAATCCAATTGAGTTTTTGCCTGTGCTACCAAAAGCTAAGGGACAAAGACACGCGCGATAAACTCGAAAGGTTTATGGCCTAAGCCCCAACATATCCTTACATCCATCGTCCCCCTACAGATTCTGTCTACCCTGAGAGGTAGCGCAAAGGAGCTGCAAGCTGCTGGCCGAAAGGCCAGAAATCGCGCGCTGCCATGCGAGGCCTGCCCTGGCGGGTTTCTTCAACTTTGGGGATCGTCCAAACCAGGATCTTGCGATTTACGTTTTTGCTGTGACTGACTTTTGACAGCAGGGAGATTGGAATGTGCTCTGCAAGTGCTCCCAGGGACGTGGGTGCAGCCTTTGCCCGACTTCAGCCCGGCATGGGGATCAAGCCGCCACTTCGCCGCAGGTTTTGGAGCCAGCAGAAATGTTTGTGCTTGTTTGCCAGAGGGATCCGTTCGTCTGGATGTTGCGAGGCATCTCTGGAACGCACCCCCGAGGCAGGTGGCGGGGTCGGTGCGCTCGCTATTTCCTGTTGAAACTGCAAAATTTTGTGAAAACGTGCCGGCTTGTCCGACATTGGGGGCGTGGAGTGCAGCACCCTGTCCAGGCTGGCGGTCCACCTGGGCCTCATCACCCCTCCAGGCCCCCCCAAGTGATGTGAGCATCGGGATCCTCACGAAAGCACGTAGAGATCGGCCGGCAGGTGCCACCATGGCAGTGGGCTCTGAGGAGCTGCGCTGGGAGGAGGGCAAGGCCACGAAAAACGGCAAAATACGAGTCTTGCGAGTGCAAGGGTGTGATTCAGCCATGCCCCTCTGCAGGCCGTGGTGTTCGATGCCCCTTTGCTGAATCAGACCCCTGTAGGGGTGGCTCCTCGTGAAGCCTCTCTCTCTCTCTCTGTGTGCGCCTGTAGCTACTAGCAGCCTACCAGCACTGGAGAGGCTCGAAATTGAGAGTGTCCATTCACCTGAAAGCCATGCCCAGAAGTCGTCGGTTTTTTCTCGTCCCACCAAGGACACATATATTCACAGCGTGAAGCATGAGGGCCACTTGGCAACGACAGCAACGGTGCTGCTGAGTGGTGCTGCATCTGAGAGAAGTCGGGCGGCCATGCCAGGCACCGACGACAGATATCTGCTGATTGCTTGGTTCTGTCATCCGTGCGACACGATGCATGCAGAAGTTGCTCCTGAACTCTCTGAAAGCTTGTGCTTGCAGTGAGCATAGGTGGCTTGCATGGCACAAAGACTGCTAGTGTGAAAGCCTCCCTCACAGAAGCGCGAGATATGAAAAAAAGGCTGCTGTGCGTCAGGACGAGTCATACCAAGCGCCAGCATGGAACATGTCTCCGGCTTGACCAGCGAGTTTTTTTTTTCGGGCACAGTCAAATGTCAGGAGCGCCCTATTCTGAGTTCCGCAGTGGAGACGCGGACTTCGCGAGCAGGGAAGGGAGGGCAGGTGCCCATCACTCGTAGATTTACACAGGGCACCTCTGCCTCCGTTTGCTTGCGGCTGGCCAGGTGCCCGAGGCGGTCCACAGGTATCCAGAAATGCAGCCAAACGTTGAAGGCCCACCAGTTGTTTGCAGCGAGCTTTCTGCTGCAAGGGCAAAAGAAACTGACGAGACGCATGGATGTTATGGAACAGGCTTTGTACTGATCTTCGTGCTGGAAGCAACGTGTGAATCTCATCATGCTATCAGTATATCACATTGGGTCGAGCCCCGGTACTGACGCAGGAGCTAGGCCCAGTACTCGCGAACTCGAGCCTTCAACCCCCGATCAGTGGTTCTTGCCACTGTTAGCATTTTTGGTTCTTCAGTTCTGGTATCACCAAACATGCTAGATTCTCATTGTTCTACTACTTGTTTCCACGAGTACACCACGTGGTAGGCTTATTCGTGCGTTGATGTCCGCATGATCTCGCATGTATTATCTACAATCTTGTGGTATTTGTTTATGTTATTCAGTTATTCAGGATTATTTGAGTTTTCTGTTCGTCTCATCCTTTTTCGAAGTTCTAGGCTCCAAACCGGTTTGAAGATAGACCTATATAAATCCGAGAAGCCAACAAGCCCTAAAGCTTAATCCTGACATCCCTACACGACCTAAGCAAGTGCAACACCCGCGGCAGCAACGAATCAGGCGGCGCCTGGGGCATCCTTGGAGGTCAGCAGCCAGGCGGCCAGGCGCGGAACCAGTTAAGTGGTGTTGGCAGTGGTACCAGCAGTTGCAGCAGCAGGGACAGTAGAAGCAGAAGCAGTAGCAGTGGCAGTGGAAATAGCAGTAGCAGTTGCAGTAGAAGCAGCGGCGGTAGCAGTGGCAGTAGCAGAGCGGAGTTGCTCTGCTGCTACTACCACTACTCCCACTCCCACTCCCATGCCCACTCCCACTTCCACTCCCACTGCCACTAGCACTAGCACCAGCACCAGCGCGAGCACTATCACTACCACTGCTACTACCACTACCACTGCCATTGCCAGATGACGACTTCTTCTTCTTCTTTTTCCACTACTGTTGCTACTTTGTCTGTTACGACCGCCATCGCAGCTGCTCCAATCACTTTAGTCCTGATGATGGCAATAAATAAAGCCCGAAATGCTTGACCACGGTAACGTCAGTGATCAGAATGGTGATAGGGGTAAGTTTGATTCGATTGTAGCTCCGGCTGCCTCCATTGCGGCGCAACATGGCCAAGACATGCGAGGAGCTCAGGGCAGAGATCGAAGCTACGAATGCGCAGCTGCAAGCGGCACATGCTGCGAGGACGCAACTCCAGGCCGAGATTGCTCAGGCAGTAGAGCGGCAGAGGCTACGACAAGAGCTCGAGGAACAGCAGCTGGAACTGTCCGTCGCCAGGAGTACAAACCGCCAGATGAGAGGAGAGCGAGACGATATCGACGCAGACCGGAGGGATTGCAACGATTTGTCGACATGTCCTGCTGCCGCCGCTTGCAGCGGGAAGACCGGCATCAACCGTGCACGCTGCACGGGTGTCGGGCCCCGGATCGCAAAAGGCGAATATGTGTGGGAACTCCAGCAGATGTCTTGGCTCGACGTTACACTTCAATTTCGCCCAGAAGCGCTTCGTCGTATCAGCTCGCACAGTTTCGAAGTTGGTGGGTGCAGCTTCGATTTTTTATACCGCCCTGACAGAGGAGCGCTTCTCCTGACCAGCAATAAGCACGGCTCGCTTGCCATAAGGGTCGACTCAGAACAGGACATCGCGTTTCGCTACAGCATCTACATCAAAAGGCGGGGTGGCGACTTCGTCCAGTGGGGCGAGACAGCCGATGCGAGCCATCATGGCAGTGATGACCCTTCTTTCACGGTCCACGGTCCTGACGTCCACCTCCGAGACTCGCCTTCCGGTGCAGTGGGAATCTTCGGTCTCACCCACAGTCAGCTTTTGCAATCGGAGTGGGTGGAGGATGATACTTTGACCGTGAAGTTCGTATTAGAAGTGCGTCCTGACGTATCTTATCGAATGCAGCAGTCTGTCACCCAGACGGCAGCAGTGGAGGTTCCCGAAGCCACCATGATTCGGGATACGCAAGCACTGTTCGAGGAAGGCACTTGCAGTGATGTTCAGTTCAGAGTACAGGGTGAAACGATCCAGGCGCACTCGCAGATTCTTTGTGCGAGATCGGAGGTTTTCAGGAAGCAGCTGTCGGCCGGCATGCAAGAGTCCGTCTCCGGAGTGATCAACATCGAGGACTGCGACGTGGGCACTTTCAAGGCCTTCCTGCGCTTTCTCTACACCGACCAAATGCCCAGCACTGTCGAGCCTGGCGCCAAAACAGAGGACGATGCTGGTGGCGCTTTGCAGACGCTAGCCTTGCTAGCCGTGAGTCACAAGTACCAGGCGACAAGGCTGCAGCTTTGGTGTGAGGCGCAGCTGTGCAACCAGCTCAGCACCTCGGAGGTTTGCGAGATTCTCTGCCAGGCTCATGTCTTCGAGGCGAAGCAGCTGGAGAAAGCCTGCTACACTTACATCAAGGACCAGATGGCCGAGGTGCTAAAGCTTCCCGCCTATGCCGAGCTGGTGACCAAGTGGCCAGACATCGGGATGAAGGTCAGCCTTTTCATGGGGGATGTTCCGGAGACCGACGCAGAGGAGATTCTGCAAGCTTCTAAGGTGCGGAGGCTGCACGCCGGCAAGCAGCGGATGTAGGCATGCAAAGCCGTTGCTCCTCAGAATCCAGCGTCCGGATCACCAAGCAAAACAGATGCGTGAAGGATTCGTTTACATGGGATTTTTGCTTACCATCCAAGGGTTCCGGACCCGGGGAGACTACACGCTATAAAGACATTGCGATGATTCAACGCTGTTTCGTCGGTGCAAGAGCCTAGACCCTTTCAGGCCAAGCTACCTTCTGGCCTGCCTGTCGCGCCTACAACCCCTCAGCCTTTAGCTACGCCCACGGCCTGCACTTTTTTTCTATTCTCCTGTGCAGGAAATCCTGCCTGCTGACTGCTTCCCGGCACTTCCTGCTCGGAGCTTGAGGCGCCGCGCTGGGAGGAAGAGAGCCCAGGGCACAGAGGGCACAGATCAGAGATCGACCGGTCCTCGAGGCATGCCATCGCCTACTCGAACATCGACGGCCAAGAGCAAGTGCACGAGACCAAGGCCCTGGCACCGAAGCTTCGGGAGATCCTCCTTGTCGCGCTTGCATTGCCTGGGCACAGGTGACTTGTTCCGGGGAGGACTGTGAGACCATGTCCAATGATGCTTCGGACCTCAGCCTTGATCCGGTTTAGGGTTGCGAAGCAAGCAAAGGGGGAGGCCGCGCTGCAGCACGAGGTCATGCCGCAGATCATCCGCGTGAGAACACCGACCAAGGCAGGGAGACCTTCTGTTGCTAAGTTCGAGGCAAGGCTCAGGGCCTTTAGGGTTCCAGGTTTGAGTTCCAAGGCTTGGGCCAAGAGGGTTGTGTGGACCTGGGCCCAAAGCCAGGCCGCCAAGCCCCGGCTGTGCACAGGCTCCGGCTCCGCCCTTTGCTTCGCTGGCTTTGTGATGTGAGTTTGTGTATACATACAGGTATGGCATTGTATAAAGTCACACAACACAATGGCAAAGTATTCCACAGTGTTCAATTATAGAATGTCATACGACGTGGTTTTCTCTGCAATGTTGCCATGCAGTTGCATCATTTTATGGCAGGTTCTCCTTTCCAGGGGCCCGGCTTGGTTTGGGATGGCTTCGACAATTTGGCGCCACTTGGCTGGAGGGTCTTGTCATCGGTCGCGCACGACACGGTCTCTAGGGCTTTAGAGTTTAAGGTTGTGTTGAGTTCTACGTGCAAGCGAGAAGCAAGAACGGGTGTGGCTCGTGCACGACTACGGCCTCGCGCGTGCTCCTGGCAGCTAAGGCACCGTGTCGCCAACTCTGCTTGCCTCTCAGAAAAGCTGTGACATCACCAGTCTGCTGAGCATCCCTGCAGGGTAAGCGAAGAAGCACTGTTTGCACCATCCATGAATCCAAGAAGCCGAGGCGAGGCGGCTCTTTGGCTACACTCCGGCCGCGGACGATGTCAGGCAGAGATTCCAACGGACGGCGCGCAGTGCCCGGACTCGAAGAATCTTCTCCGTCCTGCTGCTGTTTGCAGGCACGAGGAGGTCGCAATGCCACTAGCAAACCACAAAAGTGAAGGCCTCCTGTTGCGTCGGACTCGTGTCATGCAGCCCATGACTCTACAGAGTGCATGCCTGTGTCTTAGCAGGCATCATGAAGTCTTACGTCTACTTCAACAACAATGGTCACGAAGAGCCGCCGGCAAAGTCTCCGGAAAGTCTGCCATCTTACTGCAAGGCGTTCTGTGTTGAATGCTAGAAATCAAGGATGAAGCAGATCGAGTCGCACTGCAAGGATGGCACCTGCGTTCAGAGGCCCCCAGTTAAGAGAACCGGTGCAGAGCGACAGTGCGAAGAATCCGAAGCCCGCAGGACGAGAACCTTTGCTCCACATTCCATGCAGGCGCATGCAGACTTGAAGGAAGCTGCAGACGGGGCTAACAGACCGGTGCCGATGCATTTCCAATTGAGACAGTCCACCATCCTGTGCCGCAGGCCTGACAGACCTGCCCTCTCTTTTACGTTGCGGCTTGCGAAACTTTTGGGTAGAAGGAATTGCGGAATCTTGGCAGTTCCGTCTCTGAAGGCGGCGACAACCGACCAGCATGTTCACAAGGCTCGCCATGCACCTGGCACCCAGTTGTTGTCGCTGGCGTGGATCCTAACGCTGTTCTGGGACCTATACAGCTTGTAAATTGATCGATTCTGTCAGAGCCACGAAAACTGTCCGTGCCGGGCGAACATATCCAAAATTTCAAGACTCTGTCTTGCCTCTGGCTCGGTTTTGGGAGGTCCATGCAGGCGCTGGGCACTCTCCGCAAGCTCGCGCCGCCCGGCGCTCTTTGAAGGTGCTTCGAAGGTGCCAGCAGCTAGGCCAAACGCTCCTGAGGACATCCAGCACAGCGCTCACCAGGCAGGGATGTGTGAAGTCCAGCTCCGACCAACTCTGGTTGAGACGTCCCGTCTCAAGGCTACGGGCATGCCCTACGAAGCCTAGAAGCTCAGCTCCCGATTGGACGTCGAACCGGGCTGAGCCCAGCGGCCATCCCAATCCCAAGAGAGATGCAGCGCAATGCACGGAAAAATGGGGGACCTGGACACGACTGCACCGTTCAGCTGGCATCACAGGGTTACAGCTCGAAGGAGTTCCGAGCAGTGCTTCGAGCCTGGTTTCCGCGAGAAGCCATTTGGCCTTGGCCTTGTTTAAACCTGAGAGCCAGACATGCGGCGGAGCAGAAGCGTTTCTTGAAAGCTTACGCTTACAGAATGGCCCGAACGCTTGAATTGGTGGTCCCGGAGCGGCAAGGACTTCTGGCAGAAGCATGCATCCATATGCGTCCCTTAGATCTGCCAGCACACACGCGCAGTGGCTGCCCGAATCGAGCCATGGGGGCTGAACTGTCTTCCCCCGGTCCCACCCTGGAGTCAGGCGCAGAAGCGATGAAGACGCGTAGCGCCTGTTAGCATTCCTTCCTTGATGCCCTCGACCTGGCAGTTCTCGAGGGTGTTGGTCCGGACATGCGCGGAAAGCTGTCCACGCAGCTGGCCTGAAATCTCTGGTCGTCATGCTTCGATGTTCTTAGCATGGCAGAGGCTCGCTTGCCGAGGCATTTAGAATCCATGAGCTCCCGAAACTTGAGGCCGCGATAATTTTCGGGTGTTCCAGCTTCTGCGCTTCAAACTTGCCGCGTGCAGGTTTCGTCATGTTGCGATTTGGCGGGATCCCTTTCTTGGTGGTCGTTCCCTCAGCCGGTCTGCAATTATCACCAGGAATTAGGAAGCATTGCAGCATCGCCAAGACGGTTTCTCCCGCTTATCAGCCTTCTCACCCAAGGGACAATCGATCACCACACAGTTGTGTACGAGTACCTGGACGGAAGACGCTTGATGAGCCTGAAGTCAGAGACCCCAGCTCCGGTACGCGTCCGAAGCGTCGCCGGATGCCCCCCTCGTGTGCCTCTGAAGGCTGGACTGGGGCCGAGAAGGCTTGCATTTCCATGACAGCCCTGAGGCAGGTGCTTTCGACAAATCCTGCAATTGTAAGCAGACATCCCGACATCCGGTCCAGGACCCCTGCCCCAACGGCGATGTCTTGGAGCGAAAGTGGTGTGCGCGCTTGACACCAGTCGAGGCGGAAAACTGAGCATGCGACCAGATCTCTGCAGCTAGCAGGGAACTGAGACACGCCTTTGCCACTGAGGTCCAGTTACATTGGGATGATGTCAAAGAAAGAAACTACGAGCTTTCGCGATGGAATTGTCAGCACTTCAGCAGGCGGCTACGTTATACACTTGTCAGCTATCGAAAATGCTCCCTGCTCTTTGGCTCAAGATTACGACGCCTCGGCAGGTACATGTACGACAAGGCAGATGAAGGAAGCGTGGACATGGTAAAGCCGAGTTGATTACAACAAGTTTCACCCTTCCCAACACTTTGAGCCTCGCCTGGCAAGAGATCTGAGTCGGGGCATGACAAACAAAATTGCTCGATGTCCTTGTAGTCGGCACCGCGAACCTGGGAGTGCGATTCCTTGTCGCTCCTCCAGCCTTCTCTAGGGCTCTGGTTTTGCGGTCTGGGGTTTCAGGGTGGAAGGCAGGGGCAGGGTTGGGGCATGTCTCGGGGTTAGCCACTCTCCTCCTCCACATCTTTACTCAAGCCTTCTGCGAAGGCCTGGGCATCTCAGCACATTTCAGCAATGCAAAGTCATGATACTTACTGCTACAACATTGGCTTAAGTCTTGCAGCTTCATCATGCCTGCACCGCTGATAGCTTCGGAAGGCAGAGAGGTTTCTGGGCTTTGACTTAGGTGAAAGATCAAATGGAGTCTAGGTGCTGGAATAAATTTAGGGTTTACAGGAGTTTAAGAGCTGCATCTTCTTCAAACACATCTGGAGAACAGCGTCAAATTCCTGGAGTAGAGAGAGTCGCCCTGGCCATATGGACCAGCAGTCGCGGATAACGGCTTATGCTGCATGGCAGCAATTAGTACTCGACTGGCCACATGCCGAGGCATGCTGTGCGTGAATCATGGGGTATGGTCCTGCCGGAACATGTGCACGACTGCACGGGGTGCTTGGCTGCGAAGCTTCCCCCTGATTCTAGATTCAGCGCGGCGGGCAAGCGGGTCGCTGGTGAGAAGCAAAACGGTGAATGTCGTTTCCCCTCGTGTCTTGACGATAGCGATGATTTCCGAAACAGTAATCTGGACTGTTGTCACGAGTGAGGCCGTTTAAACTCGACAGTTCCAAGGATTTAAGTGTCAATGTTGAAAGTCTTGGTTGCTAAAGTTTGGAAACTTTGAGCCTGACTCGCTGTCTCGAGCTCAAGCTCCAGGCTGTAGCTGCGGTCGAGTTTGGAGAGGTTCGACACGTTGAAAGCTTGGCTTCAAGTTTGGTTTGCGATCACGGCTGAGGTCAAAGGCTTGCTTGCCGTCATCCGGAGACTGGCATTGGCTTTTGTGCTTCTGCCTGCGGTGTTGTTGGTGATTTCAGGCCTGGGTCCAGGGTTCGTGGTTCAGCGGTTCAGGCTTAGGGTTTGTTGCAAGCCAATTGCAACAGGGTTTAGGGGCTTACGGCTTAAGGTGTTTTGAAAACCTACAGAGTTCTGCACCGGCTTTATTGTTTCTGCTCGTGGGGTTGCTGCAGGGTTTTGTCTAACGCTTCTAAGGGGAGCTTTGCGATTTAATAGAATAGCGGGGATTATTGGGTTCACTTTCAGCTGCAGTGGCGAGGTTGTGGGTGTAGTATAGAATCCCCAACAGTCAGTACACCGTTCCTCATGGTCCAACTCCAGACCTTATTCTAATTCTTACGGGCCCCTATAGCAGAGTGCACGGTTCTCGGGGCCGGGGCGTCTGGGGGATGATCCGCGGCGATATGTTGCTGCATCCTGTTTCGTTAACCAGGTTTAGGGTTTAAAGAAGCTTAAAACACACAGTTCGTTCCCAACGCGCTTCTGTTCAATGCGACAGAGTTCGAAAGTTCTACCGTCGACCACCAGCCATTCACCACATGTTTGCAGGTGCTCCCGCTCTCGTTTCTTGAGGTTTTTGCCGTGATCATGTTCTATTCCGTCAGCTGGCAGAATGACAATATCATAGAACAATTGTGCGCAGCTGGACCCTGTTTGCTGTGCTCGAGTCACTCGAGTATTAGTCTTGGTCCCCCTGAGAAAGCACCTACGGCAGAACACGCATGGGGATTATTTCCGGCTCTTACTTATACTACACGTAGATGCTTGCGCCCCCTAAATCCCTGCAAGCCCCAAGCCCTAACATCCCTAATTCTCAGACCTTTATGGGAACGTTGTAATACCCTGCCAAAGCGTTTGAAGCCGTATGAGCCTCAAACCCTAAACCCTTACTGAGCCCCAAACCCTAAAACTCCAAATCCCAACACCTAGTCCCCAAGGCTTAAACCCCAAAGTCCAAACCCTCAACCCGAAAGCCCAAACCCTATACCCCAAGCCCTACACCTAAAAGCCCCCCCTGCATCCAAACCCTAAATCCCCTGAAAAACAGCAAAAAGAAAGCATCCTAAGCAAAAATACCCAGACCTTAAACGCCAAACCCTAGCCCTTAAACCCCACTAAACCCTGAACCCTTAAACCTTAAACCCGAAGCCGAACACAGCAACCCCAAGAGCAACCGAAAGGCGAGGTGGAGGATCGCCCCGGCACCACCTGGGAGGTCGACGAAGTGTGTCTGTGTTTGAAGTGCAGGGCTGAGGGTTTCTGGGGTTTAAAGTGTAGGGCTTGCATGGGGCTTAAAGTTTCGGGTTTGGGGCTTAAAGTTTTAGGGTTTAGGGTGTAGGGTAAGGAGGAAGGACGGAATCGTCGCTTTGTTTAGGGTTTAGGGCTGCAGGTGTGCAACAACGATAACAACGACAACAACGACGCCAGCAACAGTAACGGCAACACCAGCAACAACAGCAACAGCACCACCAACAACAGCAAATGCAAGAACAACAGCATCAGCAACAGCAGCAGCAACAGTACCAGCGCCAGCAACAGCAACAGCAACAGAAAAGCAACAACAGCAGCAGCAGCAACAACAACAATCCACGCACACACAGCACAGAAAAAACGCAACTGTTCTTGGGATGCCATAAAATATGTTATGCAGGATGACATGCCCGTGTGGCCGGACACAGACGACGAAGGCGGCCGTTCTTCGCTGGGCTTGCATTTTTTGAGACCAGCCTGTGGCAACGTGTAGTAGGTATAGCATCCAAGGTTTTCGTAGGACACGTGCGACGCATCCACTCGTTTTGTTCGAGGTGCCGACGGTGTGCAGTGCCAAGGCCCCTTCTATGGGGGACTCATGCCGCAGACTCAGAGGTTCGGGGTTCAGAACTTTTTTGGCGAAGGGGCATGTGAAGATGCTTCATCTATTGTAGTTTGATGAATCAGTGCCAATACTGACACTCATAATCAGTCTTGTCAGGGTGTCGGCGCTGTCAGTGCTGACGTTCTGTTTCTTGTTGTAAGTCCTGTGATTGACAGTGCTCCTACTCGTCCGATGAACGTGGTTTCTTTTCCTGTCGCCAGTTTGTGTTTAGCCTAAACGTTTTCGAACCTTTTTAATGAGTCTTGGGACCTCTGCTACTGTGGATAAGTGCAAGATCGCCAGGGGACTTAGTGCCACTCCTGGTTACACTCGACGTGTTTGTTTGATATCTCGTTGCTTTGGAAGGCTGATGATGATGTTTGGGGCTTCTGCCTTTGCGTGCAAGTTCCTTTCGATTCCGATCCGGGTCCTTGGGATGCACTAAACCCCATGCCAGCAACTCGAATTCAGCCGTAAGTTCTCCAGGACATTCATCGGCGTTCACAGCCCAGAGACCTTACACGTCGCAGGGAAGTCGTTGAATGGATTGCGAACCTAAGAGCTTCAACTTCAACCCTAAGCCTTGGGAGGTGTGTTTATTCCAGGGTTTTGCTTGTTTTGCGTCGGGCGTTGATCATCGTAACAGGGTTTAAAGCTTTTGCACGCGAAGGAGCGACCGAAGCCTTCAACCCAACACCGCACCAGACAAGATCCGAAGCCATATTTGAGCAGAAGCAGCAGGAGCTCAAAAGCATCCTTCTGCAACTCCGAGTGGTGTGTTTCTGAGAGTTCATCTGTGAGTTCCACGGCATGTGATGCTTGGTGGGTGCCCTTTGCAAACCCTGGAGCGCGAGGCCAATGACAGAAACGATGACATTGCCGGGTGCTCAGAAGACTCGGGAGTGACTTGGCAAAGGACGGGGGAGTCTCAGAGTCAAGCGAACTACTTGTGCGGCAAGGATCGCAAACATACATGTGCAGCCGTAGTTGACAGTGCTTAGACCACCATCAGCATCAGCATCGGCACCAACACCAACACCATCAACGCCATCATCGCTAGTATCGATATCGTCACCATCATGGCCGTCATCGTCGTCAGCATCTGCTTCTTCGGTTAGATCAGTGTCAACTACGCATTTGGACAGGGATGTTTGCAATCCTTGCGGTGCGAGTAGTTCACTTGACTCTAAGCTGGTCCACACAACTCTGTCTTGTTTCTGTTCTTTCTCCTTCCGTTCTCCGGCTGGCTCCTTTTGCAGCAGTTTGCAGCCTAGTCCCTCCCCCTCGTTGTGTGCAGTAAGCCTGGACCAGTGGCCAGTGGGCTCAGGCTGAGCTGCTTGTCAAGATTTATGACATGGATGCCGCGAATGCTGGGGCCACAGAGGCTTTCAAGCACTGACGATGACCACGAAGAAGATGATGACGATGATGAAGATAATGACAAGGATTCTCACCATTGATTTACTGTTTGGTGTGATGATGATGATGATGATGCTGATGATGATGGGGAAGATGGTGCAGATGCTGCTGCTGATGATGATGATGACAGTGATGCTAGTGAGGCTTATGATGCTGATGTTCCTGGTGCTGGTGCTGCTGCTGATGCTAAGGATGAGGATGAGGACGATGCTGATGATGGTGATGATGACTTCGATGATGAAATGAACCTCATCTTGGTGATACTGGTGATGCTCTTGACATTTGCTGAAGACCACCACAACTACTCCTACTACGACTGCTGCCACCACTACGACCCCCGCTTTGTATAATACGTATGTGTGTGTATATATATATAGGCCACAGGTGATGGACAAAAAGAATATCATTGCCACAAACAGTCTTATCCCATGACAGCTCTGACGAGAATAGTGGGGCTGGTGAGCCGGTGCCTTTGATGATACTTTTGGCGACGGAGACTACCGCATCAGCAGCAGCCGTAGTGGTAGCACGGGAAGCATCAGCCTAGGGACCACCACCAGCCACATCATCATTATCAACATCATCAACATCATCATCATCAACATCATCATCATCATCAACATCATCATCATCTTCATCATCAGCTTCATCATCATTCTCATCAGCATCATCACCTTCCGCCTGGAGCTCATCGCGAGTCTCGGCTTTCTCATCCAGCAGGCATCATGATCTTATTCAGGGGACATTAGTGAAACCGGAGGTTAGCAAGTTGGGCAGGCTTCCACAAATTCCGGGCCCGGCATCGCAAATGTCATACACCGAGGGCCTCCTCATCCTCCCTTCCTCCGTTCAGGATACCATTTGGCTAAATGAGAACTGTGCAGAAACTGTGTGTTTTTGTTGCTTCGCAAAGGCGGCACACCACGCCCGTCTAACGGCTCAGGCAGGAACGGCGTCCACTACTACTGCCGACCATGATTGCTACTGCTACTACTACTACTACAACTACTACTACACCACTACACTACTACTATTTTCAATTGAACGCTGCGCGAGCGTGCTCTGCGCTTTGCGGGCGCCTTTGCTCCCGTGCACTCGTGAGACATATATGCTGCTGCATCCATCGCTCCTATTGACCTCTCAGAATTCAGCTCTACTAGAGTGAAATGGAGAAAACCTTCAGCCTTCTCCGACACCTCAAAAGTGAGTTGACGCAAAGGAAGTGGACTCGGCAAGACGGCCCAACCGATGTTTCGATGTTTCGGGATGGAAAACTACCTGCCCAACCCCACTCCTCTGGAGCCATGAGACGGGTTTGGGAATCATTGTTTTGGGAAATTGCTCTCCCAGCGGAGAAATCCCATGAGAGTAAGCACTGAGCCCGGGGCTTGGCGGGATGGCATTGTCGCTAATCACACCGGATAGGGACAGCGCAGTAGGGCTCCGTTTTTGCGGGTTTCAAAGGTTTTGACTTCTGCACTTGATGCTTGCGGCTTGAAAACAACGCCGAGGTGGCGGCGTACTTTGAAGAAGGTCGGCCGGGAGGATTCTAGAACTTATGGCCTTCGAACCACCGGCACTAAACCCTGCACCCTTGAATCACAAATCTTACGCTGTGATTTGCTAATATGTTCAAGCGTGTTGTTGGTCAGGTATGGGGTCTGTTGCGGCGGTCTGCAGGAGCAGAATATTTTCTTGCGGGCATTACAGATCTCCTGCATGGTCATACCGTCCTGGACTCTTTCGGATGATGAGTTTTTGGTGTCGCAGGTTTATGGGGGAGGAATGAGGAGGAGCATTTCCCGTTTGTTGAAGTTTTCCGGCTTGTTTGCTGTGTCCTACTACTTGCAAGGCGCTTGCTTGATACACCGTATGCAACCCCGTAACCCACAATTCAAAACCCACTCGTGCCACAAGGTCACGCCGCAAAAATGCGGATGCGGCGTGCCTGGCAGCGCGACCGCCCCGGCTTTCGATCAGTTGGCTTTTGGTGGGAGCAGCCGATTATGTGGTACTGTAGTCCTGCTATACCACCATCCTCCGGTATCAGCCTTCAACGAGCTTCCAGACTCCAGACTTCCAGCACTCCGCCACTGCGCTTGCAGACGGAACACTGCAAAACTGCAGATCCTTGGGTAAAGACACACACTTTACATCCTTTCTGACTGTTGCTTCTGAGCGCCTCACGTACCACAGCATGTGAGGCTCAGGTGCGGTAGCGAGCTGGAAAGTCCTTCTCTGTGTTATGAGCTTTATTTGTCCCCTACGGAACTACCCTGTCGTGTCTTGCTAAGTACGGCCATGTTCGTACAGGTCCTTTGCGAAAAAGAGGGCTCCGTGCATCCATGTAAGCCAGGAGGACATTGGCCATATCCTTATAGAACCCCCTATAGAAACCCTTATGTAGTGCCCTTCTAGCATTCTAGAACCGCTTATGGAAACCGTTTTGTAGTACCCCCATATAATGTACCCCTTGTAGAACCTTCCGAAACCCCTTCTACAAACCCTTATGCCGTCGAATTGCCCCCTCACGTTGTTACTGCGGTCCTTTCTTGCAGGTTTAAGACCTAAAGTCTAAAGTTTAGGGTTCCGGGCATTTTTCCAGCATACCCAGAGGGTTTCACTCAACCCTTGTTAGGATACATACCTGAAACTCTATAAGGCTAAGCCCTACACCGCTTACTATGGGGCTTCAGGTCACGTACCTGGAGCCATAACATCCTCAACCCTACCTGGACCCTAAAGAACCTACGAGTTTAGGGTTCCTTACTATGTTGTCCTTATCTGGGTCCTTAAAAAGGTTTGTTATGTAGGGTCCAGGCAAACCCTAAACCCATAGAGCCCTACAGTGCCTCCGCGCTGAGGGGGGGCTGGCCAGCAAGCCAGCCACAGACTAAGGTCGGGTTCCCATGTTGGGTGTTAAGGGTCCAAGGGAGCAGGCCACTAGGTACCTGGGTTCAGTGTAGTGGTAATTTGACGTAGGTCTGTACGACGGGGAGGAAAAGATAACTAGGTACTTGGACCCTTTCTGACGGTTTGTGCTTGAAGTATGTGCAGTTAGGGTTGCAATCCGGGGACTTGGAGGGCTTCGCGGCATTGCTTTGGTAGACTTCTCGTAGGAACAAGCTATAAGCTCGAAAGGTTCGGTCGTGCACTTTGCGGTTCCGCGCTAAGCCCGAACTTGCAAGTGAAAGCAAGGGCTTAGGGTTCAAGGGTGCTTGGGCCTCGGCCTGGGGCCTAGTTTTTTGCATGGTAGCACCGCCTTGGGGATAACTAGTCATTTGTTTACGTGGGTAGGATCTCATATTAAGAACGAGCCTTGACGGAAAAATCGACAGGATGTACTGCCATCAGTTTCGAGCAGAGCGCCTGTGCATGTAAGTGCTGTACTGTCTGGACAGGGGTTTTGCATCTGGTGTACTGGGTTTTTATCCAATGACACGGCTTTGAAGCAGCTTCCAAGCATACACAGGTACAACCTCTACGTATTGTCGCAGAAAAAGGAAATTGAAAAAGAATCGCGATGCTACAAGATATATAGTTACATCTGGACTTGTTGCTATTTGGTTTCGGGCGACTCAACCCTTGCAGAAGGTCTCAAGCATACTGGCCCGAGCGCCAGGCTCCTTAACCTGCGGCTGGCTGAATTCGTGCCCGTGCCCCACCGAGTCTCCTAAAGGGCTGTAGGGTTCTATAGAGGTTTCAGAGGTTCTGTCCAGTTTCTTTGAAGGTCTTTTACGACGGTTCTGGTAGGGTTTCGAGCTTGCTTCTTGGATGTAGGGCTTGCGGTGTAAGCCTGCAGGGTTTTGAGGGCTCTGGGTTGTAGGGCTTAAGGCTTAGGGCTTTTGCTGTTAGGCGTTCGGGCTCTTGATTTGCAGATTCTGCACTGCTGGTTGAGGTAATGCAGACCCCTGATTGATACCCCCTCCTGTCGGTTGATGCGAATGCTTGGCATGGGAGGGGATGGTAGGGCGGGAATCGTGTTGGCTTACATATCGGGTTGGAGGATCAAGTTGGGGGTTGGGCTGAGGAGGTCAGAAGGGTGTGGAGTTGGTGCGCGCGGGCCCTGCTATTCAGAATGGGTGAAGCAGCAGTCAAGAAGTAGTATAGTAGTAGTACTATTGTTCGTACAGAGGAAAGCCTTCAGAGACAGGCGAACCCGAGGCTCCTAAACCCTGAACTTACAGGAAGTCGTGCACCTGGCAAGTTCCATTGCTATCTGCCAGAAGTTCAATCTGCTTAGGAAAGAGTTTTTTTGTAGAGCTTGCCCTCAGGCTCCCATCAGCCAGAATTTAAACAGACGTTGATCTGATCTGGCAAGAGCACATGCACGCTTCTCAGGTACAGCCGCATGCCCTTTCAAGGCCCACGAGATCTCTATTCTGAACTTGCTTCTCAGGGGTTTAGCTTCTGGGCGTTGGGAAGTGTTTTGCATCTGGGTCTGTTGCGGCGGGCTGCAGGAGCAGAATCATTTCTTGCGGGCATTACAGATCTCCTGTATGGTCATACCGTCCTAGATGACTCTTTCGGATGATGACTTTTTGGTGTCGCAGGTTTATGGGGGAGGAATGAGGAGGAGCATTTCCCGTTTGTTGAAATTTTCCGGCTTGTTTGCCTGTTGTCCTACTACTTGCAAGGCGCTTGCTTGATACACCGTATGCAACCCCGTAACCCAAAACTAAAAACCCACTCAGTCTTCCCCAAAAGGTTCACTACATGTATGGCGCAGTATGGACCATAAACCCCAAATCATTGAGCTGTTGCCACGGAGGCCCCTACGCAGCGGATCCCGTAACAGGCAAGTTTTGCAGACGCATGCTCAACACCTGCTTGAAAGGGACACTGAGAGACGACGCTTTTGCTGCGACGATTGAGTGGTACTTGTAGCAACCAGCTTTCGGCATCGCGCTTGACAGACGGTTTGCATGGGCGGGCGAGAGCGCAACTTTTGTAACATGGTCATGGTCCCAGCCCGCTTGGTAAAAGCAAGCAAGCCACGAACGCTCACATGCGCGCACACACACACGCACACGCACACCCAACATACCCAACCCACCCACAACACCGACACACAGACACACAGACACACAGACACACAGACACACAGACACACAGACACACAGACACACAGACACACAGACACACAGACACACGGACACACAGACACACAGACACACAGACACACAGACACACAGACACACGGCCACACAGAAACACAGACACACAGACACACAGACACACAGACACACCGACACACCGACACACCGACACACACACACAGACACACAGACCCACAGACCCACAGACCCACAGACACACAGTCGCACAGACGCACAGACGCACAGACACACAGACACACAGACGCACAGACGCACAGACGCACAGACGCACAGGCGCACCGACGCACAGACGCACACGCACACAAAGCCGTGTCGCAGCCCTCTTCTTTCCCTTCGTGCTTTTGTGTGTCGCAAGATGTCGAAGGTCTCAGTCCCCACTTTTATCAATACGAGCACTAGCCGAAGGGACGAAAGAGTCGTGCAGCAGAGAGCACACAGGACAAATCATCGGCTGATTTTGATCGGGCTTATATCGAGGTTCCCGAGCAGTAGGCCGAGTTTGCGTAAGAGTGCACAGCACCATACAAGTAGCGCCAGGTCGTGCCTTCTCCGGGAACTTGTCATGGCATTCGCACGTTCGGCATCGTTGAGAAAAGTTCGGCAGCACGGGATTCCAGAATTTGGATGTAGGAGGTTTGGGTTTCTGTGTTGGGGATTCGGAGTCAGCACAGGTCCAAACGTAACATTTCGATTCTCTGTGCTGCCGAAAGCTTGATGTCTTTAGGCTGTTATATGCTGTTATGGTGAGGCCCCAAAGCAGGTCCGCAGGTTTAGAAGTGAGTACACTATGCTGGGGGTTAAGTCCGTATTCGGAT